TCTTGCACTGGATATTGGCGGTGCTGCAGATGCCGCGGATGTTCCAGATGTCTTCGTGGATGAAGGTGTTGAAGCGCTTGCACTGAGGAGCGGTCATCTTCCTTCTCTGCATCATCACGTTGCAGTACCTGTCATCGCCACCCGTGTCCTGGGGGGCAACATGCTGTCTCAGGAACCTCTGGTACATTCGATCTTGGCCAGAGGAGGGCTGCACAAGCCCTAACCCCAGCAGGGTCAGCACCAAGAGCAGAAACCAAGACCGGGTCCTCTGCAGAGCCATCACCACCTAGGAAGGGCCTGAGAAGGAAGCAAGAAGAGGCGGAAAGGGTAAGGACTGGGCACTGGAGAGGTTCTCAGAACGGCAAGGTGAAGTCTCAGGAGACTCTTCCCTTCCCCCTTCCTTCCCCTCACGGTCTGCTCACTTTTTCCTGCTCCCACCTTGTCCACCCTTTTCTCTGAGAGCGAATAGTTTAGCAACATGGACCTCCCTGAGAAATGACCCATTCCCTTTACTAAATGACAGGTGGTATAGCAAACAGAGCAAGCCAGGGCAGAACTGACTGGGTGGTTAGTTTAGTTATCCAGGCCTGTGTGACAGGAGTGTAATACAAGGAAAGGTAAATCTGCATAGAGCTGGAGTTTGAGGTTTGTAAGAGCATTAGCTAGTAGGATCATTAGGGAGTGTTTGGTGTCCCAGAAATTTCCATCCCCAAAGGTGTAGACAGACTGGAGTACAAGCAAGTCTACCTGTTGCTGATTTGAATGCTGTGTGTCTAGGAAATGAGGAAGATAAAGTAGAACAAACTTCTGTCTTGCCTTTCCTCTCCTGTGACTATTTTGTTAGTGGAGTAAATGAACACATGTTCCAGGGGTGTTTGGGGGAAACTCTTTACACCTCTGTTAAAAACAAATACTCGTCTCTGTGAGTTCGAGGCAGGCCTAGTCTACAGAGTGAGTTCCGGGATAACCAGGGCTGTTACACAGAGAAACTCTGTCTCAAAAAACCAAAACAAACCAAACAAATACCCGCTTCAGCCCAAAGCTCAGGGATCATTGGGAGAGAGGGAGAGAGGAAAGAGAGTGAAAGGCAAGGGGTGACTGCAGTGAAGCCATATTTTCTGGGTACAACAGGCAACTTGAACATATGAACTCACAGCTGTTTAGACACCATGCACAAGACCTATGCAGACTCAAGCCAGACAAAATCCCAGCCTGGAGGGGAGAGGTGGGCATGAAGTCTCACCCCTAACTCAGGAGCCATTGGCAAGTGATATCGACTTAGAGAGGAAGAGTCAGTTTTCTTTAAGGATGTGTGGTCCCTGGTACGTTGATCGCTCCAGAGAATATTCTGCACCCAAGAGTTTTTGGGCAGAACAAACTGGACTCAATGGGTTTAAAAAATAAAAAAGGGGGCTATGAAGCTGGGTGGGTAGGATGAGGGGGGTAGATCTAGGAAGAGCTGGGAGAGGACAGTGAATATGATCAAAATACATTGTATGAAATTCTCAAAGAATTAATTAAAAAAAAACATTATTTAAACAAACAAAACAGGACCATAAAGACATGGCCAGTACTTTTCATCAAGAATGGTTTAAGGAATGGCTATCAGATGCTTCCCTCTGGTGGTCAGCCCTCAGATTGACTCCCAGGTGCGTTGGCAAGAGCAAATAAAAACCATCCCTGATGTAAGAGAAGTGGACACCTTAAAGTAACAGGACAGTTGTTTAAGATCAAGCAGACTTAACAATGCAAGCACAGTCCAAGAGCTGCCTTCCTCAGTGCTGGTTTGAGTACAGAGATACCATCGTCCTTCTCTTCAAAGATGCGGCTCCAGGATGGCAGATCCCGCACATGGCTGAAATGCCTTATGGTCATGTGTACTTCATCCTACCTGAAGCCTATGCTTTGGTAGGTGATAATTACCAGTACCAAATGCAAGTATTACTCTATAACACTCCCCCCAATTTCACAGCCACGTCTATGCCCACTTCTGTGCCCCCAGCTACAGATTTGAGACAGCATTACCACAGTTATTAGTGGCCTTGAGGGACTTGAGGTTGGCCCTCCCTCATGTCTGGTTTGGGGCCTACCTCCTGTTTCCCTGGTAACACTAGATAGCTGAGCATCAGCTTGGCACTCTGTGCGCTTCCTGGTCCAACGAATGGAATATCTGCCCTGGGTGGTTACATGATATTCTGTTCCACTCCAAAGACTAGAACCTAACCTACTATTTTCTCCTCCTTAGGGGTTAATCCAGCTCTACTTGTCAATCACCTGGCCAAGAAACCGACCCTGAGAAAGACTGATGATCTAAAAGCACACGAAGGAGAGGGATGGGCGGTTATTCCTTTAATGAGCTGGTGCAGTTAACCTTCCCAGAAGTCCATCCCTCAGCACAACCACATACCGTGCCGCTGGCCTGCAGCCTGCTAAGTCTTCTGGATTACTCAGAAAGCCGTGTTTTCTTTGTTGTCCATTCTATCCCTTTCTTTCAGATGCTGGCCAGATTGCTAACCATGCCTTCCTAGAACTCTGGGCTTTCTTACTCTTCCCCTAACCCCCTGCCTCCACCCCTACCTTGCACTGCTTGCTGAACTCCACTGCTGGACATGGCTGCTTTCCTAGACCCTAACTCAGAAGATATTCTTTTTGTCTCCTCTTCTCCATCTTCTTCCTCTGGTAGCTGCCAAGGTTTACAGCTTGCCCTCCATTATTTTTTTTAAACTCAATAAAATGTTCTCAAGTTTCCTTCTGAGTCTGACTCTAAGTTCTTTTTGTATCAAGGGCACCCAAAAGAGGGAACAGCACATTCTGCTAACACCATGTCAGGCAGAGGGGAATTATGATTCTGTCTTCTGTTTCTCAAATGGCTTGAGACACAATGCCTTCCCTGTAAGTTGACATTTCACTCTAAATAGCTTTGTATTATGATAGAGCAAGAGACTCAGTACAAAAACACCAAGACTGTGTTCTACTGCTTCTCCATCAATGGGTGAGAGAGACCCATCCAGGCATGTTATTTTTGTTGTTATTGTTGTTTTGTTGTTGCAGGAATAGGATAGCTCCTTCTACCATGTGAGTCACTGAATAAACTGGGTCATCCATCTCAGTGACAAGCACCTTTCCTCAATGAATGACGTCACTGGCCTTTGAAATTTTATTTTTCAAGGTAACTTTTCTAATGAGAGACATTAGAAAACTTCTTCTTGTTTTCTGAAGAGATGTTGGTGATTCCTGGTGCTGAGCATTAGCAGCTGACTCCCCAAATTTGAATACTGTCAGGAAGGCTGGGCTCACTCAAGTACTAGCCCACAGCATGAGGACTGTAAAAGTGGGACTTTGGGCCCAGTTTAGGGCAATGACAGCAATCAGAGACATGTTAGATAAAACTGCAGCCTGATATTCAGATATCCACAGGACAGCCCAACTGGTGGTTTTCGTTTATTAGCAACTGTTTTCTAAATACAACATTTAGGTATGTGTTCATACGTCTTCCCTAGCAAGACACCACCTACAGAACCTGTAGGCTGGCCAGTGTACCAACCGCATCCCCCAGGAGGCATTTCACACTTGAAGACAAATTTGGCTGAAGAATGCAAAATAAGCTGGGAATCTTTCTATAACTTCCTCAGGACCCCACAGTTGTCCAACATCACTCAATAAATAAAAGATTAATGATAAAAAGTATATAAAGTAGCCAAGTTTTTAAATTTTAAATAAATTAACGGTGACAAAGCAATGTCTTTGGAGTATTCCCTTACAATCAACAATAAAACCATTCCTTAGGACAAGAGGCAGACACTCAACGGATAAAAGGGAAAATTGGAGGGGCCACGAGAAGGGAAAACAGTCCCAACTCTGCATCTGGGAAGCACGTATTTCATCACAAGTCAAAACTGCTCAAGGCCTACCTCCCTCGCCAGCTGTGAACCCACACTTCCCAAGAATCCAAGAGGAAACCTTATTTCCAAGGAAAGAATGTATGCTAAACCAGGGTGTGCCCCTGGTGGTTCCTGACTCTACCTTTTCAGATGGGAATTCCATCCAGGGCATCTCCTGAGTCACCTTATGACCCCACTTATCAAAAGATAGAGAAAAGGGGCTTGAGTGGCTGGATCAGCAGTTAAGAACTGGCTGTTTTCGCCGAGGACCTGGGTTGGGATCCCAGCACTCACAACAACCATCAATAACTCCAGCTCCAAGGGATTCAGCAACTCTTCTGACCTCCCTGGGCACCAGGCACACATGTGGTGCACATACATACATGCAGGCACAAACACATATATTAAAAGAAAATACACATAAAATAAAATAAGTCTTTTTTTTTTTTTAAAGAGAAAAGGGGAGATGTCCTAGCAGCCTTTTAAGAAGTGACTTGAGAGGCACCCAAATTGTATATATGACTAATCCAAGACTCTCGGTTGGGAAGCCCATACCCACATTTGGGATGTCTCACTTTCTGAGTGCCTCTCTCACAACCTTGATGTTGATAGCCTTTGTTAAAATTATCCTTGATAAAAATCCCCAACTCTGCTTCATACAGGCTAGTCTTGAAATTCTTTTCTGTGTGTGAAACCATGAATCTTGTTTGGCCAGAGTTGAGGTCCTTAAAGAAATTAATGGAACTCATTAAGTTGCTGAGGATGGGCAGCATGAAGCTGTGTCCGCCCCCCAGTGCTCACAGTCTCTGCTGGTTTGTGTGCTGTGAAAGGAGGAGTGGGTGGGGAGGATATCTTTGGTGTGCCAGCATTTAACTGTAACTCCTTTCTCTAAAGGCTCCTTTGGTGACCTATTACTTGACTCTTTCAAAAATTCTCATCTGTCCCATCTGTAAATCAGTTATCATCCTCACCACCACAGAAAGATGAAGTCCACCGTCCCACTGACTGGCAGGTAAGGAAGAACATCTCTGCTCTTACCCCTTACCCCAGGGAGCAGCTGAGTAAAAATATACGAAAAGGTAAATTATCTAGAAACTAGTGATTCTTCCAGACGGATTGTTAATGGCTTTAGAGACATCTTTATTTATGTGCATCATAAATCTGAGACCTAAGTTTCAGATACTTCATTTTCTGGCCATTGACAGTGAAAGTTGCCATCATTGTTCTGGGTTAAGAGGGGATGAAAAGGAAGCAGAGCCATTTCTGGGTGAGGGGCCTGCCTACCTTGGACTAATAATAGACTCGTCCAAGTGGACAGGCAAGCCGTTTTCACAAGCAATAACAATGCGTCTGAAATCTCTGAAGGCTCGGTACCGGCACGGAGGCCGGGGAGACTCTCCTCTATGACTGCAAGTGGTGACCTGGAATTTAGAGATGCTTATTCTTAAGTTATTTTCGTAAGGGTTTCCGTTTTCTCCACAGACGGCCTTGATGTTGTCCTTGTTGCCATGAATAAAGGTGTTGCGATCTTTGCAGGGAGAGGTGAGGTCTCGTTTTCTCATCATACTACCACAGTATCTGTCGTCCCGGCCCTTTGGATTGGCATCATAGTGCTGAGTCAGGAATTTGATATACCTGGCGTCATTTTGAGCCACAGTTGATGGGGTCACAACGAGACCCAGCACAAAGACCAACAACAAGGGGCCCAGACTCATGGTCATCGTTCCAATAGAGATTCCTGCCAAAAACAAAAAAGGAGGAATGGTAGGGTCTTGGAACCACATTCTAACTTAGGCTAGAAGTGTGGGGACTTCCCTTTGATAGAACATTATAAATCAGTCGTCCTCATTCATCTAACTCATCCTCTCCTTGGGCCTTCCTAATGGACTGCAGGACCCAGTCATCTTCCTCTGTCTTTCAGGATCACCATCCGCCATAGCACAGTTAAAAACTAGTTATATTCTTAGTCACTTATTACTTCACTTGATAACAAACATTACTCAACTCCCTGTTGGGCCCAGGAACTGTGCTAGATCCTGGGACACAAAGACCTTTAAAATATACCAAGGACAGGGGCAGTGGTGTGTGTCTGTAAGTCCCAGCTACTTAGGAAACTGAGGCAGGAGGATTACTCAAGCCCTGGAGTTCCACACAGGCTTGGGCAACATAGAAAACTCCCTTTGGGGAAGACAGAGAAGAACGGAATAGAGATGTGGCATCCAGGGGAAGCAATGGGGCCTCCTGAGGTGAGACAGGTGCTAACACAGGAGCTGAGAGCCATGAGGAATGACATCCAGGGACCATGAGCACAGGGGCAGCCGATCCCCCAAGGCTACAGAGATGGGGTTCCGGGCACTCGGGTCTCTCAGTTCCACACCAATGAGGAAAGCTGTTGAGAGGAAGTCACCCTGGTGTGAAGGGGGGCAGGTCTGCTTCTCCCAGAGGGCAGAGTTGCCATTCAGTGCACAGGAAGAATGGAGCAGTGGACCTGGAAGAGAAGCTTAGGAGTGAAAGGGGGAATTCCAGCTTGTTCCTCAGTCTCTTCAGAAGCACTTGGACGACTCGGGAGAACAGTTTCTAGTCTGCCCTGGGTTTGAAATGTGGTCAACACAGACACAAGATCTTCCAGTGTGGTACAACAAACCATGACAAAAGGAAACTGAGATCTCTTCATGAAGCCAAAGGACTTACAATATGCTGTAGATCTCTCTGAAAGGACAGAGCAAAGACCACTGCCTTCATGCCTTCATCTCTCAAGCCTCTCAAGCCTCTCAGCTCACCTGGCACCACATGCATCCATCACAGACCACACACCTTAGGGCCAAAGGTACCTCTGCTGGAGCTTGACCCCCTTGTGGGATTTTAAAAGATGTTATTTCTCATGAAATTTGGAATTCAGAGAATCAAGAGGCATTAGGTTGTCTATGGTAAGCAGTGTCTGATAAATACCCTTAGGTCTTTGGAGAAAAATGTAAAGATCACCCCAAGACCTAACAGCCCTCCTCATAGTGGGTCTGCAGAGATGGCTTGACAGTTAAAAGCACATACTGCTCTTCCCGAGGACCTGAGTTCGGGTCCCAACACTCACACTGAGCAGTAGCTCACATCTACTTTCAACCCCACTCCAGGGGATCTAATGCTTCTGACCTGTGTGGACACCTACACTCTCTTACACATACCTGTCCACAGACATGCAGGCATACACTTAAAATAATAATAATAATAATAATAATAATAATAATAATAATAATAATAAATATTTTTAAAGCTCTATAAGGAGAAAATAGTTAGGTAAGGAAAAGCTGGGCTTGAGGACATGCTGTGAAGGAGAAAATAGAAGGATCCCCTACTACCCAGCCCAGTAACTGATGAGTTTTGGGTCCTAGAAAACATGGTAGATGGCTTCTGAGGAACATATATCTAAATATGCGCCTCACTACAAAACCCATATAGGCCTATACCCCAATATACAAATGCCCCCACATTTAACAACAACAACAATCAACTTTTAAGTTTTGAATATTTTTTTGTATAGAGGGTCTTGCTCTGTAGCCCAGGCTGCCCTAAACTCTTGATTAAGAACCACCAGGCCCAGTTAACATAGTTCTGGAGAAATGGAGGTAGGAGAATCAGAAGTTCAAGTTCATCTTGGTTCTATAGCCAGCTCAAGGGCAGCTTGGGATACATGAGACCTTGTCTGTAAATAAATAATTACAAAGAACGTTGCATCTTTCAGCCTGGAGAAATATGTTACTGAAAGGGAAGATCAGCCCCAGGTAAAAAATTTTTTTCTTTCTTTTCCCTAAAGTGTAGTACATTTTCAGCTGCATTAAGTAAATCATTAATTTTATTTTTGGTTTCTCTCATGTGTAAGTCTGAACAGTTTTACTTTTACCTCGTGTGTTTGTGTGTGTGTGTGTGTGTGTGTGTGTGTGTTTGTGTGTGTCTGAAAAAGGCAAGGTCCTGGCACTCAGCCTGTATGTAGTCTGCTCCTCAGTACAGGGTCAGGATGGTGGCAGGCATCTCGGAGGTTTTGGGGGGTCTAAGACGCTACTGAGCATGTGGGAGACAGGTGATGAAGAAGGAAATGTGCTGTCTTCCTAATTAGCCTCTGACGTTAACCCACCCTATTTCATAACTGTAGACCATCTTGGTACATGGCTAATGAACACCAGCTTCTTGTGATTTCACAGTCTTGAAATAACAAGCTTCCCTTAAGCATGCAGATGATAATCTGTAACAGAATCAAACTCGAGTGTGTTTTGTTGTCTATTGAGAAAAGATGGTGCCCGAGTGTAGAAGGGACAGCCCCCCTGAAGAATAACCAGCATTCACGTGCAGCGGCTGCTCTAGCAGAGCCACTTAGTGGCATGAAACCCAGCTGCAGGACACCTACTTGCTGAGCTCTTCACGTTTGTCTTGGGGTTAACTTTCCCGGGAGGGATATCTCTTCAGAAATTAGGAAGAGTGTATGCATGCGTTCAATTATAAAACGGGCAAGGCGGGCTGATGGAAGATTGGGGCTAGCCTGGCTACCCTGTGAGCTCCATGCCAACCTAAACACACACAAAATAACAAGAGCTGGTAATACCTGAAAGAGTCAGCAGGTGGCAGCAGTGGCTAGGATGTTGCCATTTGGTAGGAGGACAGTTGACCTTTGTGGAGGCACCAACCTGTACTTAAACTCTTGTAGGAAGGAGTAGAGGTTGTGAGGAATGTGAACTGGTAAGCAAACTTGCCAGGCTTAGGTAGTTAGGACACCAAAGCAAAAGCCATAATGTGGAGGATCCAAGCACTAGGGAGATCACAAAGCAGATATTTCCTGGCTATCAGATTTCATGGCCTCTGTTTCCAAGCACACCATTACTCATGTGATCTTGGGTAAACAACCATTTACCCACCCATATTATCTGATGCTGTATAATCTACATTTGAGCAGTATCTTTACCTTGAATTCTTTAGTATTCTTTACCTTGAATCATAGTGCTGGCTTCACAGCAGACTCTCAATAATCCCCCTGGTGATTGACTTCCTTTTCCTCTTCAGCCCTATGTTTTACATGAGGGGTTCTAGATTTGAAAGTCCAGGAGTCTATGGTTCTCACTAGGCTAACAGATCCTTTATCACAATTCAGCAGCGTTGGAATTATGGAACAAATGCATATAAAGTTAGGTGATGGTACAAGGTACCCACTGGAAAGAAGAGGTGATGGGACAACCTTGACCCAGTCAGCTGAAACACATCTTCCATGACGGTTGTTTGTGTAAGCCAAGCCCAAATATCATGAGTAGACTAACACTGGGGGGAGTCTTTGCCTCCAAAAAAGACCCTTGCTTTTTAGACTTTGAAAGCACGCACGTCTATGTGGCCAGGTAAAGGGGTTTCTTATTTCTAATTTGCAGAAACTGCACATTAATTTTTACTAACTCACCTAACGCAATTCTCAGGCTTATTATAACTTCATTTCTCTGAAAGATCCAAAAAAACCGAATCGCAGCAGCACACCATCACCACCAATGTCTACTGTCCACTCTTGTGACTCTCTCGCTAACACAGTAAAATTTCCCCCAAAGCCAGGTGAAGTATAATAGTGAGAAAACAAGTGACAGCTAGATTATTTGGGGTGCAGGTGTAAATCTGCCAAGGCCAAAGGTGCTGAACTTAGTCCCATACACAGCACATGACGGTCATTCAGATTTCTGACAGGAGAACCCGTTCCCACTCTTCTCTAGACTCATTCTATCCGTTCTTAAACTAATCTCACAGTCCTCACAAGAACCCGTGTTCCCTGCTTCTCCCCATTGGCAGTGCTTTGTACCCAAGAGCTGCAGCAGCGTTGACAGTCCGGTGGCAGCCTTTCCTAGCTGCACCCTCACTGACTTGTGTATCTCCAGCAACACTCCCAGAGGGAAGCCTAACACCAGATGCCTACTCTTCCTTCCAATCTTTCCTCCTTCCTTCCCCCAAGCTACCATCTTTTTATCTTGGGACACATTCCACTTTGATTTAAAGAGCATCCTTCATTTTTGTAAAGGAAAGAAGTGAGTGGGAAACAGTGCTGAAAGCATCCTTCCTGGTTCGGGGTTTTTCTTTTTATTCCTGCCAAGCCATACGCTTGTTATGGAGGGAACAGGACAGGTCAGATGCCCTTGGGCAAAGGGTTTCCCAAGCCTTTTGGAAATTTATCAGAACTGAGGAATCCCTCCTACACCCCTGTCAACTGCTCTCAATTCCATTCACTTATCTTCACCCAGGTACAAACTATCCCCAAATAAACCTGCTTTCATTTTAATTAGACTCTGACTCATTTTCTTTTTAATGCCTGAGCTTGGGTCCAGAAGTCCTAAGGAGGGATGATTGGTTTCATTAAAACAGATAAATGGCTAGAAATAGAGTAGTGGAGTACCCAGGAGGAAGACTCTTACCAAAGCTGGCCAGCTTTCCTCCGACTGGAGTGGAGTCTGGCTGTTTGCTCCTGGAGACCAGGTCCAGCAGTGTGAAGCTAGAGGCTCCTCTCAGTCTGGTTATATAGAGGGCTCATGAGAGGGGGTTGGGGAGAGCATTTCCAAGGACATATTTTGTCAGAGAGATGTAAACCAAGGACAGAAATAGTGGACAAACAAGGAGTCATTCACCTTTTCCCTGGGCATGCCCGGGCCAAATATTGACCGCCTAGTGGATCAGATGTTTGCTCGGAGATGATGTTTGCTAGGCATGGCCTTTGTTCCAAAGCTCTTTCCTAATGTGCATGGTCCTTCCCCTTGCTCACAGTAGGACTGAGGTTTCACTCTTCATATGGCATACGGTAGATTCCAAACCATTATCTCTGATCTTAATGTCAATCTCAAGAACTTCTCTGGAAGAAGTCTAGAGGACGGAGAGTGGCAGCTGTGCCCCCACCTCTGGAAGCCTGAGTTCAATTACAAAACCAATTGTCTACCTGTCTAACCATCACCAAAACTATGTGAAGAAGGTATTGTGCACCTTTGCTCTGCTTACGAGGAAACACCGAGACTAAACAGTAGATAAACCACGGGGTCAGACTTCTGACATAGAAAGCAAACAGGGAGGTAGTAAGGAAGTTCACTAGAATTGTTACATATTAATCTTCAGGGCTGGGCAGATGACTCAGTGGTTATGGATGCAAGCTCAATTCTCCACAGCCACATGGCAGTTCACAACCATCTATAATGATGCCTTCTTCTGGCTTCCCCAGGCATTGCATATGCCTGGTACACAGACATAGATGCAGACAAAATACCCACATACAGGAAATAAATAAGTATATAAAATTTAAAGAATTGTTACACAATTATCCCCTATGGAGGGCAATTTTGCAATATTTTAGCTCTTTGTCAATTTCTAGACTTTGCTCCATCATTCTGTGTAAATATTTGTGTGTAGTTTAAGCTGCACTAATTTCTAAAAAAAAAAAAGTAGAATTCCCCAACCCCTGCCCTACAGGTTGATAATGAGGGGGTAGAGGCAGAGGCGAGGGACAAAGCGCCCTGCCCCACATGAGAACCCTGGTGGGGATGTTGAGTCTGGGCACAGGAACAAGGGCATCATTGACTGACTTGCTCTAGCAGGAGGAAGAAGACAGCATGTCAGCATCCGCAGACTCCCTCAGCAGGGCTGTTCCTCTGTGTAGCAGGAACAGAACTCCCTCAGAAGCTGGGGCAGGACAG